TGTTGTCTTCTGAGAATTGATTAAAGGCAATAGGGTTCTAAGCTGCCTTCATCTATGACTTGAGAAATCAAAGGTTTCCACAGAGAAACTGATGAAGTAACTAATCCAAAGAGCGAATGAAGGTAAAAGATGATATATAAGTACGAATCATATGGAAAAATACCGAAAAAGATGCGGTTTGACTCAAGCTCCCGCGTCAGAATTGAGAGTCTATCTAAACTGGCTCGCAATCCGCATCTCCATGTTCTTTTAATTGCCATTTTGTGATGGTTATCGCGGAGTGGTCTAAATCAGGTGAGCTTTGACTAGGATGACGGTCAACACGAAGCATTTGACGATTCCAAAGGTGTGCGCAAGTTATCAGCAGCAGTCTGGTGGCCGTCTGATAGAGTGCTTGGACGAACAAAACTCTTATTTTGGTCATTAGAACCAGGTGAACTAAACACCCAACCCCCTGATTGGCGATGTCAGTAAAACACAATTCACCCCAGTCAATCTCATTTCTTCAATATTTACGGCTATGAGTGGGAAGAAAAAGTTAAATCCGCCCATTTTTATTTGATAGTTCTCAACTCCAGTAAAGCGAAAGCTCATCTTTAGCGTAACGAACGTCTTCACTCATTTAGTCCTTAGGACAGTGAGTACCATTTCCCATAAGTTGACGGCTCAAATGCTATTAAAAATTAATGAGTAACCTGACTACGGAAAAAGAAATTTTAACGACTTTTAAGGCGGTATGGAAGATCAGTGTGTAATTTTGTGATTCACAGAGTAAAGTAAGATGATTAAGCTACACTTTCGTTTCCATTCTTTGGTCATAAGAAGTGTAACACATGCTATACGCTCGATGGGATTTTGACAAACTCCGATAACGTCTCCACTCTCATTTCTGAACCACGCCAGATCCGAACGAACCACAAGACATCTGTATGTATACTGTATGCATAAACAGAAGATCATAAGAAGCCAAGATGTTTATCCAGACTTCATTTCCTCAGCTGAGCTATCTTTCACTCTCGGGAAACGTGAGTCAGATCGGCCAAAACTCTCCACCCTAACCTGTCTAACAGTGTACAAAACCGGAGAAGCTAACAAATGTGACGACTAGTAAATAGCAATAACCTCGAAGAAGGTTTCGGCGCCCTGAACAAGTAAAATATGTGGAAGACAACTGCAGTCAGAATTATTTTTCCCGGTGAAATCTATTACTCGACTGTCTGAATTTCCTATTCACTGCTGAAACCAACAAAGCATCGTGCTTCGAGAACCACATTGCCACGTGAAACACAGCATAATAGACTGACTTTCCTTTTACACTTTATTCATCTAGGTGGGCTTTGCACAATTGTTGTCATACCACAAAAGGTGGCGGAACAAGCATGTACCGTCCTGGAAGCCCGGTGGTAGTGCAATGTGCACCCTAAGAAATTAAAGATGAAAACTGCTGCTAACTTTGCCACCCCTTCAACATTTTCGTTGACAAGAATACGATTAAATCTTACTACTGCCTTAAGGATGTCAGCAACCCCTTGTCTGCATTCGTAGCCGGTCATTGTTCGATGGAGAAGGCTGGTGCCTGGTGTTACTCCCAGCATATTAGTGAGCTGTCATTGGCTAAGAAGATTAGACAAGGGCTCTGGAGGAAGTTTAATTTCACGCCAACTTCCAATTAGATTTTACATGAGGATTAGGTAGAAAAGGCACAAATCTACTGCAATCAAGTCCAACACTGGATGAGTAATCGATTTCAAATGAAGGATTTTCGTTTTCATTAAACGAACCCCAATGTGAATTTGGAAACAAAATGCAATTATGAGATCGCAGCGTGGTGGATCGGAAGTCGTGCAAATATTGCCGTGCACGCACGCACGCACGCACACACACCCATCGTTTTCAACTACTGTTGGCGTTTTCATGAGTGTGGCAGAAATGAAAACAACCGTGACAGCAACAGCAGCTTGGTCCGTCGTCCATCACTGTCTTGGAGGGCTCAGTTTCAGCTCTAGAAGTGGAGCCCAGCTTGGGGGACTGACTGAGAAATCCCGAACTCATACAGGCTTGATCAGAGTCAGTGAAACAATCGGTGGATTCGGGAGGAGTAGGGGACACAGTCGGCGCACTCGAGTGTGATGAGAAAGTCCTACTGGGAGAGGTAACAAAGTGAGAAGTGCACACCTTTTCAGGTCTACTCTCGCGGCTCCTCAGTTTGTCCCCAGCTGGCATCATCATCTTCGTAGTCCTGCAGAATTCGTTGTCTGTCTGTATGGCTTGGTGTTTGGAGACTGGTTTTCTGCTGTCTGAAATGAGAACAAGTTGGGTGTCTTCAACTGCAAGGCAAAATAGTAATTTAGCAGTCAACGAAAGAGTAACACCGGCATATCCGAATGCAGGGAGATAAGCCGGCTTTGAACTTGGGGAAAATATGATCATTTACCTGAGATGTTTTGAGCACAATTTACGTGGTTGTGTGGCACTCACCAATCGCGTTACGAAACACGCTCATTTCGTTGTGCCTTAAGACTCACTGTAGAGTCCAGCTAGCAGTCGCTCAGCGGCTAATATATTATGTGCAGAAGGACGTTACCGAAAATGGTTAGGGCGTTGGACTTCTAACTAACAGGTTAATGGCTTAAACCTCAGGTGCTGCAACACACAGAGTTGGGTATGACCGGCTGATGGTGGCTGTTAAGCCAGAAACGGCCATTCCAATCTACCTTGTCTTCGTCAGTAATATCTGTCTTGCCAGTTGTGATATTCTACCCACACATTAGATACTCAGATATTGCTCAACTAGAATGAGTCATACGGAATGGTCATCAGGTTTTGGAGGTTTTTTTTAATGGAAAGACCTTTTAGTCATGTGATGCACAGATCCACAGGTTGGGTGAGCTTTCTTAGGTGACGATGTCCATGCTTTTACAACTTACATGGGAAACTGGCTTGACACTGTCGTTCAGTATAGTGCACTAAACGCGAAGTTTAAGTTCCTCGTTGTAATTGTCTTCTACTACATGGAGTGTTTTATAAGAAACAGCTAAGCTGCCCTGGTTGAGTTGCACATCAA